ATATATATATATATATATATATATATATATATATATATATATATATATATATATATATATATATATATATATATATATATATATATATATATATATATATATATATATATATATATATATATATATATATATATATATATATATATATATATATATATATATATATATATATATATATATATATATATATATATATATATATATATATATATATATATATATATATATATATATATATATATATATATATATATATATATATATATATATATATATATATATATATATATATATATATATATATATATATATATATATATATATATATATATATATATATATATATATATATATATATATATATATATATATATATATATATATATATATATATATATATATATATATATATATATATATATATATATATATATATATATATATATATATATATATATATATATATATATATATATATATATATATATATATATATATATATATATATATATATATATATATATATATATATATATATATATATATATATATATATATATATATATATATATATATATATATATATATATATATATATATATATATATATATATATATATATATATATATATATATATATATATATATATATATATATATATATATATATATATATATATATATATATATATATATATATATATATATATATATATATATATATATATATATATATATATATATATATATATATATATATATATATATATATATATATATATATATATATATATATATATATATATATATATATATATATATATATATATATATATATATATATATATATATATATATATATATATATATATATATATATATATATATATATATATATATATATATATATATATATATATATATATATATATATATATATATATATATATATATATATATATATATATATATATATATATATATATATATATATATATATATATATATATATATATATATATATATAAACTAGACGAACTTTATGGTTGTACGTCAGTGAAGCGTCAGTGCCAACACTGATGTTGCTGTCTTTGATGATGACGATGATGATGATGAATTGATGGTGTCCCGGCG